ATTGGGCCTTAACCAACCTCCTATACCACCTATAACTAATATTATAAGGCATCAATACGTAGACACAACCAACAGAGTTACTATCCTGCTGTTTATCACAGGCAAGTTGGTCCCTAATGAAAGATTTGTCTCCCTCTATTCAGTTCCTCTGAACTATTTGCAAGTTCAACTGTGAATGGGAAAGTCTCAAAGAGAATCAAGGCATCCTTTTTAGAGAGGCATACCTGTGGTTACATGACAGTTTTTTTCTAGATCATAAGGTCAGTTCTCTGGCTATCTTAATTTTTAAAAAATGAAAGGGAACACGAATGAAATTCCATGTGAACATGGGGGCCACAACAGACATGGAGGTTGTTTGGCCCACGAGAGGCATGGGTGAGAGCCACACATGAGGTAATGAGATGAGCATGGCTATGGCAGTGAGGCAGGTGCGGGGTTGGGGGGAGGTGGTGCTCACCCCTGCCTCCTCTACCAGCTCCTCAGCCTGAGTGTCCAGTCCAAGGTCCAGCCCAGCAGCAGGGGCAGCAGCAGCAGGGGGCTCCTCTGTTTTCAGCTCTGCGGGTGGAGCCTGTTCAGATTCAACCTTGGAGTGTTTGTTTTGAAGGTTAGAGGAAAAAGAGTGAACATGTGAATAGATAACATTGCAGAATACCAGATAATTAATATTTTCTTTCTTATCCCATAGGCAACTAGCTTCATGAAATCTAAGCTGGAAAAACAAAATGTTTGGCATCACAGGCCTTTATAGAACTGAAAATTCTGGGAAAAGAATCTTACTAAGCTTTTACCATCACCAAGAGCCATCTCATTTCCCTTTAAGTCAGGAGAAGGCTCACCATTTTGACCACTCACATCCCTATGACATGTATAATGGTACTTTCTGCTTTTTAGCAAAGACTGCAGTGATCACAGGAGGTCCCAAGCTCAATGAGAAGGACTGAAAAAGAAATTTCAGGGCACATGAAATTTCAGGGCTGGGGTCTTTCAGTTCTGTCAACATGAGCCTCACCAAAGAAATCCAGGATCATCCCAACATTCAGATTAAAAAGCACTCATTTGACCCAATTGGACACCATGAAACTAGTCCTTTTCTTTGTAGGCTGAGAGAAGCAGACTCAGCTCCTGGCTACTAGCTACCACACTCATGGATCCTTTACTGCCTTGGTGTAAATTCCTGTTTAGTCCTTTGTTCCTCCTCCTCCCCCCAACAAAATTCTGAGCAATCAATTTGCTTCATACAGTAAAGTGATTCTTTAAAGAACCACAGGGCAGCATTCTCCACGCATCAGGTGGACCCTTTGATTGTGTGGGCAGGTGAGGTCTTTTATCCCACTGTACCCTCTGTACACAGACACCATCTAGATTCCAATCACATTTATGCTGAATCAGGACTCTGGCATCGCTTAGCTCAAGATCTTTTCAATTTTAAAATTAGCAATATAACATAACAACAGGACATTCAAAATACCACACTCAAGCATATCTACTAAAAATACTCCCTTTTTCCATCCTTATTAACATAAATAGGCATATTTATCTAGCCTGATTATTTCATGAAATGAAAGACTCATTAAGACCCTTTTCCATCAGACCATGTAAACTATAAAAGAGTTTCAAGTGTATTCCTAAAGGACCAAGAAGTCTCCAATTGAGATGCTGGAGAAATCGGTCACTTCTACCAGAAGCAGCCCAAACCTTCCTCTCTTTCTCCTGTTTGTTCATCTAAGTTGGTGTACACAACAAGTTCCACAGAGAAGTAACAGACCTAGCGTTGGATAAACACACAAACTATCTGCCTTGTGCACTCCACCAAACTATTAATGGTGATGGATGCCAGGGTCATACCACCATTCTTTTCAAAGGACATAATAAAATCAAAGGACACTTTGGGAGATAGATGTGCAGAGACTTGATATTTTATGGACTTTTATAACCTTTAAGAACTGGACTGACATAATTTTCAAGAAAGGATGAGATAAAATTCACTCTAATATGCTCTCAGGCATCCTTTATGAGAGAAGACTTTACTTTTATTGTTCAAAAAGAATTATCTTCATAATGGAACACATTTTCATAGCAGCGAAGTTACTGTAAGTGCTTGGGGTATGATCTTACCATTTGGGAAGTCAAGGCCATTTGCTATGACAGCCTGATATCAATGACCCATACCATAAAGGGCATTGAGTAACCTGAAACCTGTGAGCAGATGCTGTTTCCCTGCAAGCTGAGTCTCCTATGGAGGACGTAAGTCTGAAGCCAGATGAAAAGTCAAGAGAAACGTCAAAACGTGAGTCAAATACATACATCATTGTACATTTTCAAAAATGCAAAGGTAACTTAAAATGAAGAATAAATTTGTATTCGAGTCTGGGTTTCTTGGAATTCTGAAGAAATTCTGAAGTCCTGTGTAAGAATGAACAGCCAGGCTCAGCACCCATAGCACAGTGGTTACGGCGCCAGCCACATACACCAAAGTTGGCAGGTTCGAACCCAGGCCAGCTAACCAACAATGACAAGTGCAACAAAAAATAGCCGGGCGTTGTGGTGGGTGCCTACAGTCCCAGCTGCTCAGGAGGCTGAGGCAAGAGAATCGCTTGAGCCCAAGAGTTTGAGGTTCCTATGAGCTGTGATGCCACAGCACTCTACTGAGGGCAACATAGTGAGACTCTGTCTCAAAAAAAAAAAAAAGAATGAATAGCTGGGGTGATTTCACAAATGATTCCTATTGCATTTGCTCCCTGAAATTGGACAAGACAATGCTAATACAGTATAAAGAGAACACAGGGATTCGTTATATCCCCATAAGTTACAACAGGCATGACTATATTACATTATCACTGTTACAAAAGCACACCAAATATTATAGGATGGCATTACTACTTAAATTCCTGAAGCACAAATGTGAGACTAAATGATGAGTAAGGATGAAGCTCGATTGTAAATAAAATCAGCTTCTCAAATTTAGCAACAGACAGAAACCTTCTCTTCCTTCTAAGACAGTGTAAAATTGTAAATAGTTTGTCAAGATACAGAGAAATGCAGAGATAAACTGTGAGAACATGGCCTGGAGAGCTCTAAAATAGTCCTGCAGGAACGATGCCCTACAGCAACCATTCTTTTCCTACAAGATGCCTCCCGTGAAAACATTGATAATGGGCTGATACCATGCCATAAAGATTTAGAACACTGCTAATGATTTTCCATTGTTTGCTCAAATAGCATCACTGTACCTTCAGAGAAGAGGTGCACCATCAAAGCACTACTGCAGCAAATAGATACAGAGATGCCACAATGGTTCAATCCTGAGAATCAGAAATGGAATTTTCCCTTTACTGTAAAGTGAGTGGTGTAGGCTTGGAGCACTTTTACTCTGTGCTAAGATGCAGGGCAGGTCACTGCAGAGAAGAAGAGATGTGTTGGGAATCTATCACATCTGAAACAGAGTCTATCAGAGGCTACTCTGGGCCCTGAGCAAGGAATGCTGATCAGAAGGGTTTAAACTTGTACTCAAGGGATATCCCGTGAGGCTTATGATGCAGGCTAGAGATGTACAGCTGATACCAACTTCAACCCCCACCTCACTCAGGACAGTCAAAAGAACCAAATGCTGGAATGTTTTCCTGCTCCTGGGAAGATCTTATCTAATCACAACTCTGCTGGGAGACACAGGTTCGTTGATTTCCTAATTCCTTAGAGGGCAGAGCCAACATTAGCGGGATTTGTAATGTTGGGCACGGCAAAGGTGAGTTCCCCAGTGGAAAGAAGAAGGTGCAAGATGCCTGCTTCACAGAAAACATATCAAGAGAAGAGACAAGATGTCCAAGGAGTGGCACGGAGGCTCCCAGGGCCAGCTGTGGATGGCAGGGAAATGCTCGGGGACACTTAAAACCACTCAGTTGCAGGCCTTCATCTTTGCATCACAGTAGCAGATGGGAGTTTAATTATGAATTGCCTTTCCTTTTATACCTCCATTTCTCGATTTTTCTTAATTGATCTACAAATGATAAGAGAACATCTCACTCTCCGGCTCCATCACCTGGGCTGAGTGAGGATCATGTGTGAACATGAAGAATAAGTCTCTCTGGTTCCATTACTGACACTAGTATAATCTGTATTTGAAACATCTATTTATTGGCAGCTCTCAGAGACTCCGCCTTTCCCTAGTTGCTGAAATGGCAAACGTATGACAATCTATTCACAAAGTGTTAGACACACACTTGCCTTTGCAAAAATACCAAATTAACCTTTAAGACAAACTGATCAGAACAGAATTCCTTACTTAAAAATGTAATATTCTAAAAAGAAAAATTCATTTTATTTAAACCGATTTCCAAGCAAGAGCTAGGATAATTATACACTAGTCTCATGGGAAAACTATGGCATCACAAATTACCTTCGTGAACTAATTCTCCAACATTCCAGATCCTCTGGAGATGAGCAGTGACAAGCTCATAAGTGACACCTCTTCAGGTCTCTCATTCATCTTCATTAGTAAGCTGGTACTGAAAAGGGTTCCCCTGGGAACTGCAACACCAACCTCACATCTAAACAGTCACCAAGAGTAACTCTCTCTGCTTCCTACTCTTTCCCCAACGAAGCTTCCTCTCCTCCCATTCAGCATTGAATCAGGAATCACCACTCGAGTACGCCTTGCTTCCTTCTACAACTCATAGAGTGATAACATGAGAAATGAGGGCGTTCCAACCTCAAGAAGCAATCAAGGATCTATTTTGAAGCATGAATTCTTGAGGCAATTTCATTTAAGATCCTGGAGCTTCCATTACAGTCACACGGAAATATCCCCATCCTTGATGGGTTCACTGTGTTCTACTGGGGCCCAGAACTAGGAGATTGGAGTGTTAGCTGATCACCGTGAACAGAAGTAACCAAATTCAAAGATTTAATGGATATTTTCTCTCTTATTTTCTACAAAAGTGAGAGCTGCAGAAATCTACATTCTGGATATTCAAGCTTCAGACAACCTAGAATGATCAACTTACCAAATTGCTGACCACGCTCTGATCTGTCTGCATGGTGAATAATGATGTGTCCTGGGGCTGAAAATGAGGGAGAAAATGTAATTTTTTAAAAAATGATATTTAAATTAGCTACCATCAATTGTGTCAATAAATACATTTTAAATGTTTAAAAATCCTTTTCTATTTTAAAACATGAAAACAAAAACCACAAAAGTCAGTCTTAACAGTAGGTATTCTACACAGAAATCTTTGCTAGCAGAATACAATGAGCGTTATTAAACTAAGGGCTCCGGCTTCAGGGGATCATTGGTTCCCTACTTTTCTTCTGGATGTTGAAACCTGATGGCTCCAAATTTAAACTTTTCAAATGTTGCAAATTTAGTCTGACTACATCACCTAAGTGTTCCTTCTAGGGGTTATACATGAGTCATGAATTAAAAGTTTTAGAAAATATGTTCTTTGATCTAAAAAGTGAAGCTGCAAGAAATCAAAAGGAAAGAGTGATCTTTAAGGGAACATTCACCACTCATTATGCAGGTAGCCAGGCCTGCACCCTCCGGGCAGGAGACCTAAGGGTCTTCCTGGGAAGTCTAACCAGGTCGGGGGGAAAATGCATGAAGAAACTGACATTTGGGGATTCCCAAGAGAAAATATGAGATAGTGACTTGTGGTTAAAGATGATGGATTGAACACATCTTTACCTTCATTACCTCCAGAATCCAAAGCAAACAACAATAAAAGGAATCTTTAACAGGAAGAAAAAGTGCCTAAAGATTCGGACATCAGGGCATCGAGGGCTCCCCAACAGTAAGGTGAGCTGGGAAATCCTACAAAATGCCCAAAGTTGATGAGCTCTACCCCACCATACAAGGTGCCTGTCAGCTTTTCAGCATCTCACGCTTAAACATGACTATTCAGCTAATATCACCAGACATTGAGAAAAGTCTAAAATATGAAAGAGAGGAATGGAACAGAAAAAAGGGAAAGCAAGCGAAGAAACAAAGACTTTGCAATAAAAATAACTTCAAAAATGATTACTAATCCCCTCAAGGACAGTGTAGAATGGAAGGGGTTGCATTCGGGACAGGAGTCAAGATACCAACCAAAACCAAAACCAAGTAAGAAGAGCTCTGGGAAACTGAAAAAACGTCAGGAGCGAAGAATCTGTCAGAAGAGTTGGAAAGCAGAGAAAATAGAGAAAAGGAAACAGCAAAGAACAAATAAATAGAATGCCAACTCGGGAAGCTCAGATATGTTACAGAACGAGAGAACAAAGAAAATGAAGGAGAGAAAGTGTCAGTGAAATAATAAATAAAAAATTCCCCAAACCAAAACACACAAAACTTCTGATTAAAAAGGCCTACTGCAGTGGAGGAAAAGAGACTCAAACCACAGCCCATCACTGTCAAGTCTCAGCAACACGGAGGTGAAAAGAAGATTCTGCACAAGAGGAAGATGAGCGAGAGGAGAGAAATGAGAGGTGCCGGGTGGGACGACAGGAGTGGAAGGAAGAGTTCTTACAAAATGACAGTTTCTCAAAGTACAAAAACATTTTTATCCCCTTAAATTTTATTTTGAAATAAAATAGTGTCACTGGGGGAAAAAAACCAAAATGACAGTTTCTCCAAGGCAACACTAAGAGGTAAAATTGAGTGAAGACAAGAGCTTTAAAATCCTAAGGGAGAATGATTTACAACTTCAACTATAATATCCAAACTAACAGTCCATTATGTGTATCTCTATACACAGGAATAAAGACATTCCTAGATGCGTATGGTTGAAAATATACACCTCTGATGTATACTTTTCTCAGAGAGCCACTCTACCCAGAAAAGGGATTAAACCACAAAGAAGGAGGATTTACTCTCAGAAAATGGTGGATGGACAGGAGAGAGGTGAAGGCTATCCTCTTGGGAGAGCCAGGGCGAACGGCTGGGGAGCAGTCACAGGGGACCCAGTTCAGACTGGAGCAGTCCAGAAGGACAGACAGGCCATTTCTTCAAGAAGCTGAAACCGACTGAATATCTAGTATTTTCAACAAAAACCAGAAGAGATTTATATAATTATAGAGCATGAGTTTGTATTCATACAAAGGGTTAAGGGTAAGGATTAGGGTTAGAGATTTTTATTTATATTTATAATTATATATTTATATAATTACAACACATAGGTTTCTAGGTAAGTACCTAGAAAACTAAGCAAAATCATACAATAGACAAACAAGATCCACAATTATTACCACATAGGAAGACGGAAAGTTGGCATAAAAAGAAAAGTAAGCCTCATGCCTAGGCTGCTACTTGCATTCTATCACTATACTACCACAGGTCAGAGGGATGGCTCTGATGGACTCCATCAGAGGGAGGAAGCCAAAGAGAAGGGAGGTGGAAATACTTGAGATAGGTCCATAGACAATGCAGAATTCAGAAGCAGCATTGTAAGAAACCAGGTGCACATATGAAATAAATCTAGAAGATTAGTTAAAGGAGGTGAAAATATTTACCTCTAAGAAACAGAAAATGGAGGAGTCATTTGACAGCCTGAAGTTTGCTAATAAAAACCCTTATATACAGCCGAGCACAGTGGCTCATACCTGTAATCCTAGCACTTAGGATCCCCTAAGATCAGGAGTTCAAGATCAGCCTGAGCAAGAATTAGACTCCCATCTCTACTAAAAATAGAAAAATTAGCCAGGCATTATGGTGGGTGCCTGGAGTCCCAGCTACTTGGGAGGCTGAGGCCGGAGGATCACTTGAACCCAGGAGTTGAGGTTGCTATGAGCTAGGCTGAGGCCCTGGCATTCTAGCCTGGACAAAAGAGTAAGACTCTCGTCTCAAAAAAAGCCAAACAAACAAAAAGAAAGCAATACCTTATACCAGGGGTCCTCAAACTTTTTAAACAAGGGGCCAGTTCACTGTCCCTCAGACCATTGGAGGGCCGGACTGTGGGCCCCAGGACGAGTTGGCTGCAAAGCAGGACAGGCAGCACTGGCAAAAACACCCGGCGGGCAGATAAATGTCCTAGGCAGGTTGCATGTGGCCCTCGGGCTGTAGTTTGAGGATGTCTGCCTTATACAAATGTGTTATATTTATATTATGTGCATTAATCACTCTGATAGAAATACAAACTTGAAATAAATGAGAAATGGATAACAATACCAATGATGACATAGCAAGAGTTTTCCAAAAAAGAAAGGGATGCATTATCATCTCTCTTTGTGTTTGTGTGTATCCACATTTGGGTGTGGGTGTGTGCGTGGGTTTTGTCTTCTTATTGAGAACATGGGGGAAAATAATGGAATTTTTAAATGCAGAATTCTATTTATGAATCTATCTTGTTTTAGAGAATTCTAAATGCTCAATTATTAGAACCTGTGCACGGCTGACATTCTGAGGGGAGGTCTCTTTTTAGGTCTCCCTTGAAGAGGCCGTCAGAACTGAAGCCAGGAGCTCTGCAGCCGTGCGGTCTGCCTTGTACCTGGTTACACCTGTCTCTCTGGTGGGATACACACAGAGAATGGGACAATCCATCTGGTGGCTCCACTTTCACATTGGACAGAGCCAACATACAGTTTCTGATCTTCCGGTGGCTCTTTTCTGGAGAACCACTGAAGAGATAAGGCTCTGTGGAGTGTGGACTCCTGTGTGAATCTTTAGAAGGAGGTTCCTACAAACCTCTCACGTTTTCTAACTATCCGACTCGTTAGTTCAACAATCTACAATCCCATTCTCTTCTTTTCCAACAACTAAATCCATTGGATCTCTCAGAAAGTTCTCGTTTCCAGCAGAGGTGTCAGCAGAAGGCGGAAACCCATGGGATCAATACAAGCCCATCAATACAAGCTGAAGTACAGTCCTGGACCACTTAGTATGTACTAGGCTGCTGGGCTCCACATGCATATCTCATTTAATCTTCACAGGGACCCTACAATGTTGCTACTATTCTGTCTTGATTGCTCCATTTGTAACTAGTGGGGTCAAATTTTGTGCAGACACTCTTTAACCATTATCCTCTATCAGTGACGTAGAGACCATCAACAAAAAAATGCGTGTGGTTCTCAGCAGATGGATCTTGCTAGAAAAGAGATGCCTTACCTGGGTGAATCCATTAAATGAACCACCAGAAGCCTAAAGAGAAATGGAAATCACAGTGTGTTATTTTTTTCATCATCACTTTTGTAGGATCAGGAAATATCCAGTAAACAAGTTGGAAAGTAAAGACTACCACAAATTTAAAAATAATACAAAAGGTTGCTGCATGTGGAAGTGCTTAGGAAATGCAAAAGGCCATGCTGTATTATTTTAAATAGGCTGACAAAAAAAAAGGTTAATTTAACGATCTCTAAAATTAATCTTTGAAAGATCAGTTTTAAAGAAAGATGGCTGCTGGTGCATAGCTCAGTGCTAACCAAAACCCACTTTCTCAATAATCAGAAGATCAATCTAAAGAAGGGCCATCAGGGGTTAACAGTAGCCTCTTTTTTCAGCCCCTGATAGAATCTGGAAGAAGCTTATTTTGGTGTTTCTGTAATACATCATTTTTGTGAACAGCAATTATGAGATCCTGCGGTTTCAGTGGGCCTGGGTAGAAACATTTCATGGGCTTTTATTGGAGTGCAAACACTTTGGGAACAGTAGATTAGTCTGTGCTGTTTTGGTTTAGCACATGTTTAGTGCCTGGACAGTAAAAATGCAAGTAGGGAGAATAAACTCAGAAACTGTGACGGTAAAATAGACTCTCATTGATTCCCAACATGATTATTCTGCTTTCTGTGACTTTTTTTTTTTTTTTGTCAACCTATTTGTGTTTGGTTTGCACAAATTTCAAAAGGTACATAACAATCTGTCAGGACTTGGAGAAGATAGTGATGGAGAATGACGGAGGTGAGAGACATTAGGAGAAACAGCACCTACAGAAGTCTTTGGCTAGTCTACACTACAGACCGGGGTAAGTACCTCGTCTTTGTCAGCCTCTATTTCTTGGTACAACAATCCATATCTCTGGTTAGCAATTTCATCTTCAGATAAATCTGAGTTGTTGATGTCATTGTCTCGGGAACTAGCAGAACTCTCAGGGCTAGCGTTCCGGGAGCTTCCCAGAACCAGCCGTCTATCTATCTCCTGGCTTTGTCCCCAGAGGCTAGCAATGGCTTGTTCCCTACATACACCAGCTAGTGAGTCCCCTTCCAGTCCCTTGCTGCTCTCAACTGTACCTAAGTGGTCCCAGTGATTACCTAAGCCTTCAGTATCTCTGATAGTCCAGCAGTTAATAGAATCTAGGCAACTGGCAAATCCACCTGCCTGGCCACCTGGTATACCAGAGAATCCTGATATATCCGTGTCATTCACAGCTGAATCCAAATGTGGCTGCCAGAGTTGACCTGGAACTGTCCCCCAGGAGTCCGTCTGTGCAATTCTTGGCAAGCTACAGGCATGACTATAGTCTCCACTCACTGTACCTTCAGACCCCTCCATTAGTGAGTCTTCTGCCTTAGATGAACACATATCCCTTCTGTTTCCATCAGTTCCCAGAGAATAATTAAAGTCAATCCTAGACTGAGCTGCCACTTCAAGTTTTATAGACCAACCAGCAGCCTGATTTTTATCCCCATCATCTCCAGGAGCATTCGGCACAGTCTCACGCTGATTTTCTTCAGCATCTGCACCACACTGTGCTGGGTGATACATTACATCATGGTTGGGAGGGGCTGTTAAATTTTTTTTGATCTCTTTTCTAGCTAATTCCCATCCCTCAGGGCTGGTACCTTCACTGCTAGCCATGGAGTTTGTCTGGAGTGGTGGATTCAAGGTATCTGTGTGATTGGCAGGTTTAGCACCAGAGCCCTCTATAATTTCATAATTACTAATCACTACTTGAATCCCATCATGTAGACCTTGGTCTCCATCACTAAATTCTTCTGGCATAGCTACTCTTTCCATGGCTTCTTCTAATAGGTCAGTTTTCTCAAAAGAATTTTCATTGGTTTTTACACTATCCTTACACTTTGCACTAAGACCCTCCCTAGAGTCCACTTCATTGATTTGTAAGGTCTCCTGGTCTTGCTTTCCCACTGTGGTAAGATCTACCACCATGTTCCCTATACTTTCATTTCCTTTCTCTTCAAACTCCTCTGTCCCTTCCAGGGTCTTGATACCAATAGCTCCCGTGTCTACCTTTTGACATGTCTCCACACCTGCCCACATAGAATCTTCTGTCTTCTGTTTCTCTTCTTCTTCATCTGAATTTTGAACACCTTCATAGCTTTCTTGGAAAAGGCCAGCTGTTTCCACGGCTGGCATCTCTGGGTCAGGCAAGTCATACGGCTGCCCCAACTCCACACAAGCAGCAACAGCAACTCCAGCCTCCGGCACAGACTTTGGGGAGAGTTGTTCATTTCCACCTGAAGAGTCTGGCCACAGGGTACATTCACCCTGTTCAGCCACGACAGGCCCATCAGCAGAAGAAAGCATGCCGGTGGATAATTGCATGTCTTGCTCAGCTTCAGAGAGACATGCAGGGTCTTCTCCAGACCTGTCTGAGGGAATTTCCTGGCTGACACTGTCTGTACTAGCGTCAGGGCCCCAAGTAAATGCACCCACATCAATTTGAGATCTTTGAATTTCTTCGGCCAACCCACTGTCTGGAGTTTCCTCCATGATCAGGTTACACAGGGAAAGACTTTTTGAAGAGTCAGTCTTTAAAGTATGCAGAAGCAAAGAAAAAAAAATAAGATGAAAAAGATCATGGTAAGATTTGATGAGAAACTCAAAGCTCTTCAGTAGGGTAGCACCAGTTAACAAAACTAGAAAGTGTTTAAATTAATTGGTTCAACTAAGGTTAAATCTATAACTAGCAAAGCCACGGGGGGAAGTTCATTCTAGATAATATACCATATATATATTGCATATTAAATACAAAAAAAATCCAGAATTTACCTACCGGTTGTACTAAATCAGCACTTGTTGTCTGTATGGGTAAAATAACAATAATAATAATTATGAGGCAAGAAAAGATAATTCACTAACAATTACTGGTTTAAGATGATATTTACAACTTGTTTTGTGATGGGAATGATTTTTGTTCCAATAGCATCTAAGCCTACTACAGAAAAGGCACAATTGAAACACAAAACATTTGTCATTTTCTAGTGTCAATAAGGACTTTTTATGACTAGTACATGAGTTCTGTTTTAATAGACTCTGCGTGCAATGTTTAAAATAAATAAAAAATTCTGAGAACACCATAATAAGATCAAGCATTATAGGTCAAGAAATTAGTGTCTCATGGTCTGATGTAGTGTCAGAATAAAATCTTCTCCAAACTAATCCTATACTTAATCACCTTGGACGTGGGTGTTAAGGTGAAAAAGGATCTGATATTAACCACTCTGACTGACTGCCTAGAGCAGGAGTCCTCAAACTTTTTAAACAGGGGGCCAGCTCACTGTCCCTCAGACTGTTGGAGGGCCAGACTGCAAGCCCTGGAATGAGTCGGCTGCTAAGCAGGACAGGCAGCGGAGGCAAAAACACCCAGTGCGCCAAATAAATGTCCTAGGCAGGCGCATGTGGCCCATGTGCCCTAGTTTGAGGACACCTGGCCTAGAGGATTCTCTTGATATTCTTCCCTTGAACTAGAAGTCATTGGGAAGTACAGAGATGAGAACTGTGAGCCATTATGTCCAGAAAGCCACCGTTCTGCATTCTTATCATTGTCACAATTCAGTCTGTCTTCTGCAACAGTCAAAGCTCCTTCCAGATGACACCTTTACCCTCACCATAACCTTCCCAGCTGAAAAAAATGTACAGTTCCAAGTAAAGATATAAAATAGTGGAATAGCAACAAATTGGTATTATCCCCTAAATCTCCCAGAAAATTAACAAAGAGTTGAGGCTAGAATTCAAGTGCCCTGAATATCAATCCATGCCTCCCTTTTTCTGAATATAAAAGTATGCCCAACCAACTATGAAAGACACAGCTTAGTCACGGTGGTTTCAATGAACACTTGTCAAGTAGCAATGTCACTTCAGAAGTTCATGAATAGCTACATCTATCACATGCCCCTCTTGTTGTCTCACTAGCAAAGAAGAAAATGTAAAACTTAAGTTGAGGAATGCGACCACAAGACCAAGGCTTTTCTCAGACAAAGGCTCCACTCTGAGGCTTATCGGGCTCTATCAGAGCGAGGCCAGTCTCCCAATTTCACAGCACCAGTGAGGCCACCACAAAGCTTTGTTTGTGGCTGTTTCCCAACTTTAAATTTGGAGGTTCACATCCTTGCACATCAGAACAGCTGAATAAATAACATGAGTAATAATGTCTACCTTTCAACAAAGGATACACAGCAGACTCGGGCTAAAAACTCTCCAAGTACCTTATTTCATCCTCACTCTGAGGCAGGCATCATTACCTGTATTTTACAGATGAGGAAAACTGAGGCTCAGAGAGTTTTAGAAACTGTTCAAAGTCCCAAGGCTATACGCAGTAGAGTCTGGACTCAAACTTCTGACTTGAAAGCTCAAATTCTTATTAACCAAGCTCCACTGAACACAATGATGAAAAATGGTTCCCTGTGCACAGTAGCCCGTCCCTTCCATTTTGTCATCTGTACTTTCTTTATATTCTATTTAAAAGTGACCACATGTGTGCAGGCCCTTCACCACAATAGCTCCTCTGGCCATCAACTACCAGAGGAAGAGGCAAAGGGCCTGAGACCAAAATCTTGACCTCTTGCCACCCAGGAGTCTGGTCCACTGGCACCCTCACTCTTCTCATCATGACCTCTAGGTCCTGGTAAAGCTCGGAACCTTCAGGGGGGCTGGCGATTGTTCTAAGGGACTATGTTATCACTAAATGCATGGATCTTCTTTCCATCAGAAATAAAATAAAATATAACAAAGTTTTCAAATTTCTAGGCATCAAGATTCATGAAAATACAGAAGGTTTAGTAGTCTTACCGTCCACAGATCCCAAGGTAATGTCTGAAAGCACAAAAAAAAAAAAAAAAAAACAGAACTATGATTAATACACAAGTCTAAAACATATAAAAACTACTGAGGTGATAAAAGTTCTTGAAATCATAAAAATTTTTAAAACATTTAGTATGAAAATGTTCAGTAGAACCTTCCTTGGTGATGGAAATGAGCCACATCTGTGTTACTTAAGATGGCGCCAGCAGTCACAGGAGAGTCCCGAGGGCTTGAGAGGGGCTGGTATCATAGAACCAAAGTTTTAATTATACATAATTTTACTTAGCTGTTGGGAAAGCAGCTTGACCCATTCAAGTTTAAATGGTCACATGTGGCTAGTGGTTAGCACAGGGGCTAGCACAGGCCTAATCTATCTGCCTTTCACCGTGTGAGTGGAGAGCTGTGTCTGAAACACTATGAATGGGGTCGCTGTAACACACAAACATGCACGCCACCCATCATTAAAATGAAGCAAACAAGGTGTCCAGATATCAGAACTTAATCACATCTCTGAGGAAATATAGAACCTAATCAATACTAACGATACTACCACCCAAAACGTTAGAGAGGATATATTATGACCAGTTTGAAGGTGAATCAACCTTAGAAAAGTAGTTCTCCAATATGTTGAATTAGATGATAACACACAGCTCAGTTAACTGGTAATCATGTAAATCAGCAGGGTGCTTCTGAAGACCAAGGAATGAATCACACCTGCTACTGGCATTTCAATTATGACGCTTATTGATTCTGGGGAATGAATCCGGACGTTCTAATGACTTCCACTGTGGGTGGGGAGAGTTCTCCTTCCTTCCTTGTGATTGAAAACTGAGACTAAAACTACACCTCTTTATGCCCAACTCTTTTTGACTAGAATGGATCCATGTTTAGGCACTTGATTTGAGTCACTCAGTGTGAACAGCAAACTAGTGAGCCTGGCAGTCCCATCTCAAAAGTATTACAGTTTCCAGATGAGATTACAGATGCCTCATGTGGGTCTTCCTGTCCTGCAGAAAGGAGGCCCTGTGGTTCTGACTAAAACCACCCACTTGGGCAGGTCCATTCTAGCATATTCTTGCAGACCGACTAAGACAGAAGAGTAAAGCAGCTCCTATGAAAGTCACGGTTTGGGGTACATGGATTTGTTCTGCATTTTCTAATTATCCAGATGGTCTCTGCTTCCTTGCTTCACAGTCCCTTAAGAATCATGGATTATAAAAGCTAATACATGTCCCTGCACAGTGCAGACAGCAAATAGTATTTTCTTCAGAAAGCAGGCGGCAAATGGGAAACAGCACGTCTACCAGCGCTCAGGATCACGAAAGGATGTGTTGGCCTGCGTGAACATTGTGGAGATCACAAGATGGATGAGGTGTCCTGCTAGCAGCAAGAACACCACTTGAGACACGGGGCAGGAGACGGGACATCATTCTGAGGCAGGCAGAATCTAACAGCACTGTGCCTTTCTTCACTCAGCTGAAGATTTTTCTTCTTTGCCAAAATGGAGAGATGTGATTAGAGTTGAGTTACAGGTGAAATGTGTCGAGGTGACTCAGTGAAGGCCACCAGGAGGCCAGAAGAGTTTATTGCCTGCCCCGAGGGAAAAGCACAAGGAGGCACACAGCTTGCCCTAAACAGCCATGTGTTTCCTTCAGAACTAAGACTTCCCAAGGTATAAACAAGGTCACTCAAAAAATTTTTTAAGTCCACACAAAGTTCCAGGATTTATGGATGTATTTAATCACGGGTTCTAATAAAAGAGTTTTCTCTCTTATCTACCTACAGACAGAAACGCTGTGAAATCTCACACACTAATTATTACAGCATCTACCTTCGAAACTTTGCTTCTGCTATGAGAGAAATGAAGTATGGAAAGTAAGGCCGAAGGCACCCTGTAAGTTCTTTTGGCTGTCTGTCATACAGACAGAGCTTTGAGAAGGAAATATGTGGAATTACACACACTTTCATTTTCTACTTTTCTTGACCACCACGGTGGAACCTTCAAACTTACTGACAACTACTACTTTAGCATTTCCCAAAGTAGGATCGAAAGAACATTCCAATGAATGGCAAGAAAACTCATTAAAATACATTTCTGTACTCATTAACAAATGTAGGAAACTCCAAACAAAATTAAACATTTTTTAATGTCAGGACTTCTCAGCACCTTTACTGTTCTAATGAACATCACGAATCTCCTAGAAGAGATTTAACAGAGAGCTTCTTGAAACATTCACCTAAGAACCTTTTGTTTGCAAAGCATCTTTACGGCTAGTGCCTAATCTACTTAATTTCCTACTTTATTGACACTTTAGACTTTTCTTGTTTCTATTGTACAACAGGGAGACCTTCATAAACCAAATCACACTCTAGAACAAAGCATAACTTAGAGAGCATCCGATTTGTTGACGTTCATATTGAGCTTTCCCCCTCAGCAGTTTACTATAACATAACAAAAAGGTTTCAAGACCAGGAAATAGAGCTGATTCCCAGTTCCTAAACTGGGCTTTATGACATTCTTTCACTAATTTGAAGTATATTCTAGCATCTTTGGATTTGCCTAACTTCAAATGTGAGGGAGGCCCCAACACATCCAACACACTGATAAAATGATTTCCATTTCAACCAATTTTGAGTTAACGTCCTTCCCTTGGCAGAGAAAACTGTAAACTAACCAGACTCCAGAGGGGTCACCCAAGGTCATTACAGCACCTGCCCCAGGCAGCCCTTTGACAGAGATGCTGTGACAGTGACTGCTGGAGTGGGAGGACCCCAGACAGTGAGGCCCTGGTGAGCAGGGAGAGGCCTGGGTGGGCACGGCCAACCCCTGTCAAGCCACAGGATCACAGGGGGGCCGTTCCTACAATGCAGAGGCTGAGCCACCCTCATCTAGTCGGGACTGTGGGGACTGACAGACATTTCTGTTGAGGCACAATCTCCTGGGATTTCCAACTTGCAAGTATGAGGAAGAAAAGTAGAAAATATGAAGAAAAGTCAACCCAAGCCAAAGAAAGAGCTTTACTCAGGGAAGCCATGATACGTGTCATCCACACCTGGGAATTAGGAACAATCACTTGGTGGGGAACATATGGTTATGCCGGGTCTGTGGGTAGAGAAAGCTAATGGCATCATTTAGAATAATTGGTATGGATTGGATCCTCTCTCTACCTCTCCTTCCTACTGGGAAACATTTGTCAACCAAAAATGAAAGAGGATAATAGTCATTTGAAAGGGACAAGGGTAATCTGTTACCCTACTATGCATTTTGAGGTTTATGAACCTCAGCCCCAAACATCCAAAAAGCACCTGATACCTGAGACATGGGCGAGTGGGTCACTCCGGCAGAGCCCGCAGGTGCCACCTCAGGCTTGAAAGGGTCAAAGTCCAGATCCAGCAGAGTTTCCTCTTTCTTCACCTCAGGGACTTCATTCTGTTAAAAGAAATATGTATTTGCTTGAATCTGATAAGACTCCATAATACAGCCCATGTGTAATCCGTTGAAGTAGCCTTATTATACATCCCCAAAGCATGCTTACACAGTGGACCACAGGGTGACTCATCCACACGTGCCACACTCATTCAGCTAAACTTGGTGAGAGTGGCAATAACTCTGGACAAGTATAACCCAAGTCTCCCTGGATCATGTCCAGGCTCCAGGCCCCGCCCTCTGTCCAGCTGCAAAGAGCATGTCCAAAGACTTGTCCTAATGCCACCAAGATACAAAGAATCTCTCCCTGCTAACTCAGAGAACTAAGATCAAAAATTACAGACCACCAGATCCATAACATGGGCCAAGCCCTGGACCCACTGCTGTGATGCTCCTCTGTGAAGCTGACACAGCCCAGCTGCCTCCTCCCCTCCCCAGCAGCCTCCTCCTTGATTTAGTTATCCTATAACCCATTCTTCGTGGGTAATATTGTTTGTGTCAGCTGGGTGAGGGAGGGGGGAGGGAGAGAGGGAGAAAGCCTCTCCCAACATCTGCTGCAGAATGAGTGCTCACTAATGACATTCTTGGATTAGAAAGAAGATAAGCCACATAAGACACAGAATTAAAGTCCCACTAGGATAATAACAAAAACCTCTAATGCTAAACATTAACATTTGTTCATTTCCTTGTATCATGACACAGGAAAACGATGTGGCCTTGAAGCTGGCCTAACCCAAGTTCAAATTACACAGCAAGGGGCAGAGCTGAGACAAAGACCCCAGCACTTTGGGTGGCCAAGGTGGGAAGAGCTCTTTTTTTTTTTTTGAGACAGAGCCTCAAGCTGTCCCCCTGGGTAGAGTGCCGTGGCATCAAAGCTCACAGCAACCTCCAACTCCTGGGCTCAAGCGAGTCTTCTGCCTCAGCCTCCCAAGTAGCTGGGATCATAGGTGCCCACCACAATACCCGGCTATTTTTTGGTTGCAGCCATCATTGTTGTTTTGGCAGGCCCGGGCTGGATTCGAACCCGCCACCTTGGGTGTACGTGGCTGGCGCCTTAGCTACTTGAGCCACAATGAGCCAGAAGAGCTCTTGAGCCTAGGAGTTTGAAACCCTCCTAGGCAACATACAACTCTGCCTCCCCCACTAAAAATTTTCTTAAAATAATAATCAAATTTCTAAAACTATACATTTCAGTCACTATTTAGAAAGAAAATTATGTATTATGAAAACAAAATTAGTAAAAGTGAGTAAAAGTAGGAATAGAATTATACTTTTTGATTTTTGCTAAAGATTTCTACGTATAGCCACAAACATTTAGAGGAAAACACGGTCTCCAAACCACCTGCCATGGCTGTATGAAGACGGAGGTGCACACAAAATGAGTTTTTAAATCATATTACCATCTGATCCAGATTACTGTCAGGCCATCCGGGTAACTTTTTCCAGGGAGCTTCCATTTCTTTATTCTTTCATTAAATGTACTTTAAGAACCTTTAGCAAACCTCATTTATCATGCTGGACACTTATAACTTCCTAACCAGGCACAAGAGGTCAAATAAAAAGCTTAACTCAGAAGGATTAAATAAAGTTTTCAGGAGCAGAACCAATTCAGCACTTGTTTTTCATGTAATATAAAAACTTTTCATGTAAAGGTCTTTACAACTTTACAGTGAGTAAGAGTTTTAGCATTTCAAGGCTGGATGCAGTAGATGCCTGTAATCCTAGCACTCTGGGAGGCTGAGGCAGGTGGATTGCCTGAGCTCACAGGTTCAAGACCAGCCTGAGCAAGTGAGCTGTGGTCTCTAAAAATAGCCAGGCATTTTGGTGGCACCCATAGTCCCAGCCACTTGGGAGGCTAAGGCAAGAGAATCGCTTGAGCCCAAGAGTTTGAGGTTGCTGTGAGCTATGATGCCACAGCACTCTACCCAGGGCTACAAAGCAATGCTCTGTCTCCAAAAAAAAAAAGAGTTTTAGCATTTCTTCAATAATTATGATGAAATGGTGGCTTAGGGAAATTTAACTTCTTGCTTGGAAACCTGTAGGACTGTTATGGCTGGGCACGTCACAGTTAATGTGAATAACAGTATTAACTACAGTATATTGACGGCATCCAAGCACTGTAGATTTCCCATCTTAGAATGGAACATCTTTCAATCATTTAAAAGTACATTGTCAAGTATTCCTTCCACAGTGTCTGCTGCAGCACAGTAGTCCTCCCTTATCCGTGGGGGATACCTTCCAAGATCCCAGGGGATACCTGAGACCACTGATAGCACTGAACTTCACATGTACTATGTTTTGTCATATGTATTTATGCTTTGCCTATACGTGTATTTATACATGTATATACACACACCTGTATATACAGAGGGTGCCAAAAAATATATACACATTTTAAGAAAGGAAAAAACTATATTAAAATTATAGTACTCGTCACATTTGACTTCTACAATTACAAGATACAATATACAAGAAAACAAACAGTATTAGTATATATTGAGTACTACAACTTTAATACAGTTTTTTCCTTTCTTAAAATGTGTATACATTTTTGAAACCCTCTTTATATCCCATTATAAAAGTTAATTTATAAATTAGGCTCAGAAAGAGATTTACAGCAATAGCTAATAAAATAGAACAATTATAACAGTACATAATAATTAAGGTTATGTGGCTGTGGTTCCCCTCTCTCAAAATATCTTACTATATGTAACATTATGGGGCTGTGGTTGACCTTGGGTAACTGAAAGTGAAACCCCAGGTGAGGGGGGCTACCATACAGTTAGCAGACTAGTACACTGCAGACCCCTTTACACACAACTAGACTTAACAACCATCCTCCTGTTTCCACATTTGCTTTGTGTGCCTACCTACACTTAAGATGCTGCAATGCCTTAATGGATTGACATGCAATTAAACTTCATAGGGAACTGTTTCCTTAGTTTGTTTCATTGTGGTTCTGTTTTTACTGGAACAAGCTGGTAGATGGCAAAGTCATTCTTGGCGTAGGACATGCCCTTAATACATTATGACTAAGGGTGTAAAGGTCGACATTCATGAGAATAGAGTCAGCAAGGAAGAGCAACAGGTTCTGTGCTTCTAATGAAGTTCGGTTATACGTCATGGATGGACAGAGGGCTAACCTGGCTGAATGACGTCCCTCCTACTATTGCATCCTGATATTCACCAAGAATGTCATCGATGCGTAACAACCTGAAGAACTTCGCCAACAACTAAACCCAAACAGGTTCTAGAAAACATGGATTCTGGACATTAAGGAGAGAAACTGTTACATTCAAACAAACAAACAGTTTGTTTGTTCATGTTCCTGGACACCTGGCATCTGCTGTTTTAGGCATTTAAAATGTTGTTACATGTGGTCTATAGCATTCTGCTTTCCGTGTCTGTCCTAGGAACACCACGGTACAGAAGAAAGATGACAGGTTTTCTCTACTATAAAACAGGGATAATGACATGTAAATCACAGGATTGATGTCAAGAGTAAATTGAATGAGACCTTGTATTATGACATATTTCGGGAATATAAATATTCAGTAGGTGTTCCTGTTCCACAGACAAGAAAGAACATTATTAGACGCTCTGGGGTCTGAGAACTTTGGAAGATGGAGAGGCTAAATAACAGAATATTTTAAAAATATTTTCTGAATACCAGATGCTACATAAACTATACTGCTTGGTTCCCTCTGTTCAAGGAACAGAACAATGATGCTGGTAATTCACTGAGGAAATATACTGACTACATTTGGGCTTGAAACACGCTAATTTTTCTTCCTTCCAATTTTCATCTTAATAATTCTTTCTCTCTTAAAATAACGTTAATATGTTTGCTTTGAAAAACCACAAGTGAAAGAAGAGGCAGCTGGTCCAGAAATGTGCTTCATTTAAAAAGAAAAAAAAAAAGCTAATGCAGTATTTAAAATCAGGTTACCAGAATTTAAACCCAGCGAGTGAGTGGTGGGTACACCTATCATTGCAGGCTGGCCCCTCAGCGCTGCAAAGGATGAGAAGGGCCATTTCATTTCATGAACTGATTTTGCACATTGAAAATCTGTTTCTGTTTGATTGGCTACCAAAATAGGATGATTTCCTGAACTTAGAAAGGAAAACGCAGTAATTTTTAGGCTGGAAAACAGAGCTGTAGGAGTAGAAGCGTTCACGGTGCTGCTGAGTCCCAGCACTCACAGGACTGGAAGGAAGGCTGTGCTCACGTCTGCCTGGAGCACAGCAGGCGCCCAACAGGGTGGCGAACAGGGTTTGGGGGATAAGCCTTCGGATGGTCAAAGGATAATCCCTCTGGATTTGTAAAAGGGAAACCTTATCATAGAGAGAAAATATGCAATATCATTGTTGGGTGAAGATTTAGGAAAAATAGTTGGGGGTATCTGCTATGAAGAAAATCCTGAGACAGGGAAGATTTTTCTTCCTCTCAGCCCCTGGATAGGATATAGTTTTAGGAAAAGTGGGACCAAGTGCCTGGCCTTGAAATTCAGGGCAGCTTCACGCTTTTGAACACCTTTCTGAAAATGTTCTAAGTCCACCTCTGGTGGTAGAGAACGGCTGCGGCTGATGGTGCTGTCTGCTGAGGACACTGGGAGCCCGTGCCAGGTCTTGCATGGGCCTGGTGCCCCCCTCTCCACTTTGGAGCACACCCCAGCCCTACTCACACACAGGGGCCAGGACCCCTTGGGCTCTTATCTACAGAGTTGTCCCGGAGCTCGGTGGCCAGGCCTGTTTCCAGGAGGGAAGCAGGTGGGCAGATTTCCCCCCTTCTGCCAGCATGGCATTTCACTTACAGAACCCCAAGAGAGTGGCCAGCAAACGGTGCTTACGTGCTCACTTAAAGTAATACAAATTGTTTATAAGGCTATCGGCCCCCAGCAAAAGATATTGTTCAGGGCCATACTCCCTAAAGAAGCCCTGGAGAAACGGGAGTGTGGACACTGGATTTAAGGTCAAGTCATCAAGTTAGGATAAAAAGCAGTAGAAAACATCTTTGGAAGAAAACACAGAGAAACACCCTCGCACAGACACTGAGGCATGTATACACATATGTGACTGCTTTAATTTTTTTGTCTTGATCTTCTGTAAAAATCTAATTTATATGCCATATATTTAGTTTCCAGGGACATATATCTTTTAGATCTTCCTTTCTTCAAATGTTTCCTCCAAACTCATTTCTCAGGAATAGGGTGTTTGAGGGATAAAACAGTGACTGTTTGAGAAACTCTGGCTTACCACCTAATTGGGACTTTGTTCTAGAACTTATTAGAGCCTTGAACAGCTGAAATAAGCTGTGAAAAAGGAAAGGGTGATGTAGGCCCCAGGACCATATGACCAAAGACTCCTTTCCCAGAAGCCACTGACCTGAGTGTTCCCCAAAACACTTTGGAAATGCTACTTTAAAAGAATAATGCAGGTGGTGCCCCCTGTAGCTCAGTGAGTAGGGTGCCAGCCCCATATACCGAGGGTGGCGGGTTCGAACCCAGCCCCGGCCAAACTGCAACAAAAAAATAGCCGGGCATTCTGGCAGGTGCCTGTAGTCCCAGCTACTAGGTAGGCTGAAGCAAGGGAACTGCCCAAGAGTTGGTGGTTGCTGTGAACTGTGACGCCACTACTGAGGGCGACAAAAGTGAAACTCTATCT